TTTGCGATTTTCTGTTCGATTTTGTTCAATTTAGTTCGATTTCCTGTTTTACTAATCGATTAACTTTAGTTTCTTCCTTAATTTCATTGATTTGTTCGGTTCAGTTGAGTTTTTCCACCATTGTTAACTAATTTGAAGTTCAACTTGTTGATTTGATTGATTTTTGCAATGGAAGAAGAAGCGTATGAGGAGATTGAAGAGGAAGCGCCGATAGATGAGACGGAGATCTAAGTAGAAGAAGATCTACAGCTTTCACGATTTTTCACTCGCATTGAGAATTAGCTTTCTGATATTTGTGACGGTATTTTGAAGCTTCTGGACACTAAGCTTATTCCTCCTGCTAGTAGTGGTGATTCTAAGGTCTTTTATTTGAAGATGATGGGAGATTATCATAGGTATTTGCTGTTGAGTTTAAGACTGGTGCTGAGAGGAAAGAAGCCGCTGAGAGTATTCTCACAGCCTACAAGGCTGCTCAGGTTTAATTAATTTTTTCCTTTTTTTTGTTTGGTAGATCTGTTAATTAGGGTTTGGATTTGGTTTTTGTTTGTGATTTTTGCGTTGATTTGCTATGATATTTGAATTTTGCTGGAATCATTGAGGAATATTCAAGAATTTGATAAGCTCTTTATGAGTTTCTACTTCAAGAACAACTCATCTTCTGTGAGTGGCTCTTGTTTTACCATCTTTATAGGCTCCTGGTGCTTCTGTTGTTGATTACAGGAGTTATTATCGCATTCCTCTTGGACATCTGCAGTGTAAAATGTGAAGGATTAGTATCTATTTCTTTTTCGTTAAAACATATAAATTAGTTTTGAAAATCTGTTTTTCTTAATCAGATATTAGGAAGGTAATATTTGATGAACTATAGGATGTTTGATAAGCTTGTTTGTTTCTTTCTTTAACCAAGAGCATTGATGTTTGTTCTTGTAATTGTGGTTTAAATGGTGTTTGAACATGGTAATATATATGTGTAAGAATCAAATGGAAAAAAGAATATGGACAAGAAATGAATAGATTTGTTTGGATCAGAAACTCGTAGAGGATACATATCCTCTAGTCTCTGATGGTATATTCTTTTATTGGGGAATTGGAGTCTTTTTTTAAGAATTGCTCTTGAAAATTTTAGGCATGTAATTGCTTACCTTTTTCTGTTATCTGATGCATGATTTGTACTTCACCAGGTATCAATTTTTCCCTTTGATCTTCAATAACTGTTGATACTTTATTATCATCCTGAAACATGCAGGGTAAAGGACATGTTAGTTAAATGGTAGAAGTGTGTCTTTAGAAATTTATTTCTAGAACTCGAGTATGCTAGTTTGCGTTATTGCGAGCTCTATCATTCCTGATCTTACCTTGTCAGCTGGAGTTAGTGTAGTAACCTTCTTCAGCCTTTGTGAAGATTTATCTCTGATTGTATGATTTTTGGTGCCTGCCTGTTCAATATCTACATTTTGTCGGGATTCCTCATATACAGGTGGCTTGCTCGTATCATGATTTCCTGGTATGCTTTCATTTGCCTCTGCTTCTGTCCTTAAAACGTTGATCTTGTCAAGCTTGTTTTGCTTCAGTCTGTATGAAGTCTGTATGATGTTGGTCTGTGATGTTGGTATGCTTTTATTGGCTGTTTTGGCATGTTGAAAGCCTATTAGCTCAATTGGTCGAGCACCGTGTAATCACGGGATGTAGGTTCGAATCCTACATGGACTTTTTTAATACTTATTTTTATATTTATTGACCTCTGGGTAAATGGTGTCAAATTGATATAATTACCCGAAGTTCATATATAGTTACCTTATTTTCGATATAATGACCTTAGAATTATGGAAATGCTTTAAATTTTGTTTCAGTCACCTTATTTTTATATATAGTGATCTTTATTTTTGTATATAGTGACCTTTATGTAAATGGTGTAAAAAACTCAGTCGATATAGTTACTTTATTTTTGTATATAGTGACCTTTATGTAAATGCTGTAAAAATTGTTATAGTTATCCTATTTTTGTATATAGTGACCTCTATGTAAATATGGTCAAAATTGAAATAGTTACCCTATTTTTGTATATAGTGACCTTAATGTAAATATTGTAAAAATTGATATAGCTACCCTATTTTTGTATATAGTTACGTTATTTTTATATATAGTGACTCTATATAAATATCGTCAATTTAGATGAAGTTACCTTATTTTAAGCATGTAGTGACCTTTTAAACGGTTGAATTGATTATATGTAAGGTTGGAATGATCTTAGGGCTTTAGAACCGTCTGATCTTTTGTGCTAGTAATGAATGGCTGAGATTGCTTGTTTTTAGTTTTCACCATAAGCTCTGTTTTTAGCGGAACCTCCCCGTATAAATCAATACCATTATGGTGATATAGTTTAATATTCCTTACGAAGTGTATATATATATATACACTTCGTAAGGAATATTAAACTATATCACCATAATGGTATTGATTTATACTTTTATGGTTCAAAATTTTCCTCTTTTTTAATGATAAAATCACGTGTTTAATGTGTGTGTTACAAATTCATACCATACAAAAAAACAAAAATTAAAGATCTTTCTTTCAAGGTTGTTGAGTTTTTACAGTAGGAAGTATTTCATTAAAACTAAACATTAAATATGGGTCTTGTTATACAATTAACTTAGCATATATGAAGTATCTTTTTAAAAATTACACTTTTATTCTTCTCCTACTCCACTACCTCCATATTTTATTATTTTTTTCAATTTCTCCTAAAACTCCATGCATGGAGATATGAAACAAGTATTTATAAACAGAGGGAGTAACTAGTGATGAGTAGCCGAGTGTTTCTTCACATTACACATATGGGGTAATTTGCTCATTAATTTTTGTTCAATTACGTACCCTGAGTGTACAGTACATCAGGGTGTACATAATAAATTTTCATCAATTCTACCATCTCTGTTCTCATTTGTTTTTAACACTTGAAATTATGCGTGGTTATTAAGAAATTGTGTAAAATATAGGTACATTGGAATAATTCAATTATTGAAAATACAATTCCATCTATCAAAAAAAAATATTGTACATGTGGGTGAAGATCAAAAGTAGAAGAGAGAGAAGAGAGAAAGTAATAATGAGTATTGGAAAACCAACAAAATAGTATAAAAAGTACAATTGCACATGGAAAACTAAAGAATAATTGAGTATTAAATTGTAAAACAAGGGTAATAATTTTGTCCAAAATTTATGACTAAAAGGAAAGATAATGAAGGTAAACCATCATCCCAAAGTATACGTGTCGCGTCTACAATAAATAAATTTCCGTCAAAAACTTTTGTTTTTTCCTTTTTTCCCCGTTATAAAACTAATAAAGTAAGATAATTGATAAAATTAAAAAAATAAAATAAAAATAAAAAGAGAATATGATGTCTAAACAACCCAAAATATACAACAATAACAACAACTTTAAATAAATAAAATATTTTTTGTAATCAATAATCTTTAAATTGTATATTCTATTGAATCTTTAAATGTTAATCTATAAAATATATTGTTCGTCTCCTATTTTTACAACATAATTTTAACTCAATTTTAAATTCATAACTTATAAGCAAACTAAAATTAGAGATACTTTACATTAACGTATCTTATTTCTAATGATTTAATAACATAAATTAGTATTTAAATACAATCTATAACAAATACAAACCTATAATAATTTATATAAAAAAAATGTAGTGAATAACCCAACGTTGCTCCGACAAAGAACTAGTGGTTAGTAACGCATAGATAAATATATTTTCTTTTCTTTTTTTTGAAAGAAATAAATATATTTTCTAAGACAATGAATAGTTACTTTCTTTAAATCTTGCTTTTTTTAATCCACAATATTACAGAGTATTATGTTTTAAAATAGCAAGTAATATACTGGTGTAACATGAGAGGTTGTTATATACAATTGGGTGTATCGTACATCCATGAGTATTTTGTTCTCATTTTGATGATCGTTTTTAATATAATCATCAAATGAGGAGCAAAAAACTAATCTTGGATTAGCTGAGTATACGGTGCACCCGGGTGTATATAACAAATTTTAGGTGTAACACCCAGCTAAATCACAAACTAGTTTTATATTAAAAAATTGTAAACTCAATTTTTAACATATGCATGCAATTGATCTATTGAAGGAAAAATAATGATTAAAGGACGCTATTATAGATGGTTGATTGAATTCAATGTCTTGTAAAACATGTGCGAAAAAAAAAAACTATCGGAATATTTAAATTTTTGCTTGAACCCTTCGGGGTATTAATTAATTGTCAAAAGCGTGTATTATTGCTTGATTATATGTTAAGAAAGCGTTTATAATTATTGAATCAACAATCAATGCAATAATGGTTATTGGTTATGAACTTATGATACATGGAGTGTTTCCTATAGTTTTTTTTTTCTCTACAATAGCAAGTTTATACTACGTAGTTTTTTTTTTTGTTTTTTTGTCTTTTTGAAAAATTTTATAGGTATTATGGTAGAATAACTAAAAGAGAGTTTGAAAAGGGGTGGAAACGTATATACTTCCTCCGTTCTTTTTTTATTGCATCATAGGAGATTTCACGCTTGTCAATGCATTATTTTAGCTATTAATATCTTTAATTATACCTTTGTAAAAATTATAAAAAATTGATATTTGGAAAGTAGATTTCGAGATGAATCTAACTAGATCCCACATGACTATGTTTTTGTTTACGAATAAATCACAAAAGATGGTCAAAGAAGATTATGTGAATAGTGTAAAAGTCAAAGTGATGCAATAAAAAAAGAACGGAGGAAGTATATATTTTTAAAAAATTATAATTAGAAAAAAAAAATAGCGTTTGGAAATTAAAACTTAAGAATACAACGCACATCATGCATGTCCGAAATTATTGCTTTTGATGGATTTATCTCACCCCAAATTTCGTTTCCAACTATTTTGCCCAAATTTATCCTAAATTAGCCGTTTTACCTTCAAATCCTCTTCACCTAAATCTAACCCCCAATTTTAACACCCTAATATATCTCTTAAAACACTAATCATTACAACTAAAAGAAAAAAAAAAAGTAGAAAGAAAAGAATATCATGCATCATCTCAAAGGCTCTTTCTTCATCAATTGCTGACACAAAATCTTCCATTTTTTATTTGAATCAAAAACACTTAGAGGGTTGTCTTTGATCAAAAACTAAGAGTTCAATCCCTTACATATATAATTTTTTTTATGTGTAATTAGTCATGTCAATGTGATTAGAGAAATCTGTCAAACTGGGTCGCCTAAAGAAAGGAGACGTATCAACAAGTTTTAATGGAGGTGGAAAGAATTTTACAATTGTTAATATTGAAACATAAAGGACATAATTCTTGTGCATCTCTCGTGGGTGGAAATCATACAGCAGCCAGGTTTTGTACTCGCTAGGTTTATTTCTCTCTTCTAATCTCTTTATAAAAAAAACATAATATACATACCCTAATATTTTCTTTGCAATTTTAGCTATTTTTTCCCTACATTTTCATAAAAAAAATAAGCCTTTTTATGCTTGTTTTATTCTTCATTATTATTCCCTTCTACATCTTAATTTTTGTCTTTTGTATTTGTCTCGTCAGCTATCTTTTTTTCATCGTTGATCAGCAAGCTCCAACTCCCGCCAACCCCCCACCATTATAGCACATTTGTGCTCGAAACAACCATACATACATACATACATACATACATACATACATACATACATACATACATACATATCGAAAACACACACAAAAAAAATTAAAAAACAATGCAACTCGAAAACATGAACATGGAGTTACCTTACACGTACAACAAACACAACAATGTACATGTCTTACATGGAGATCATTCGTCTAGATTATTTGTTATCATTCGACATTCAGAATCGAGGGTGCTCATGAAAATCCTAGCTCAAGCTTTGCTACTTGCCCTCCTTATCATGGTATTAGCCGGTGTATGTGGAGGAACCAATGCTAGAGAATATGATAATATTGTCTTACCAAGCAAAAATAATGTTAAGTTGATCACAAATAATATTAATAGTAACAATAATTATAATAATAATAATAACGCCTTGGTTTTTCAAGATATTGCTAACGAAGGATTATGGAAATCAACAAAGGATAAATCCATCATTGTTAGTGACACCAAAGAACAAATAGTGATCGAGGCAACGAATAAGGTTAAATTTAGCCTTACATTATCACCTTTAGACGTGAAATACAAGTCCATACACAATGATACATTCGATTTCTCCTACACCGATTGCTTTGGAAGAGCAATTGAAGGTTTCCTAGACCGAACCCTAAAGATAGGTGGTGTCATGGCGGTCCAACTTAGTCGAGATCCATCGATGTCATTCGAGGTGCCACCAAATTACAAAATTGTTTATTTTAGGAAGTGTAACAATTCAACATTTATCGCGATGAGAAAGGTGGCCTATGCTACTACAATAATGTCATCGAGATCAGCCTGTCAAAGGAAGTTGTTACAATTCTTGTCGGAGGAAAAAAAGGCAGTCCTAGGCAACCTCGAGGATGTTCTCTTAGAGCCACCGCGATCAGCCACAGGAAAGTCTAAGGCATACCTAAGAAAAACAAAATTTCTTCCGGATCTATTGAATGACTCTTTGGAGGGTTACTCTAGGAGAGTGTACATTGATGTAGGGGGTGGTCATGGATCAACACGTTGGTTCGAGCAAAACTACCCTACTCGAAACAAGGACTTTGACATGTATAGGATCGAGACTGTCCCTGAGACGGAGGTGGAATCGGATGATGCATGGGAAGGACCACCTACACAAATGGGGATCTCGGATTGGTTGTGGAGGAATGTTAAGGCCGAGGAGTACGTGGTGATGAAGGCTGATGCCGAGGTGGTGGAGGAGATGCTAAAGAGTAAGGCTATCGCGCTTGTGGATGAGCTCTTCTTGGAGTGTAAGCCTATTGGAAAAGGCGGTAGTATCAAAAGGGCTTATTGGGAATGCTTGGCTTTGTATGGAAGGTTAAGGGATTTTGGTGTTGCTGTGCACCAATGGTGGGGGTAAGGTTTAGACAAAGATTATGATTCATTCTTCTCAATGATCAAATCTATGTTATATGTATTTCTTTGTGTTCATTTGGTTTAAATCATATCAATGTAATTAATAATAGGTTAAATTCTTTCATTATGTTTGCAAAATTTATAGTGCTAGTATGTAATCGATCAATTGTTCATGAAATGGCACAAGTGTACATCTCACAAGTCTACTCATATTAATCAGAATTATGTGGTTATATATGTAACTCGCATAATTAAATCTCATATTTATTTGTTATGTGTACAATAAAGATTATAATTACTTTGTGGATGATCAACTAGTTTAATTGGTTAAAGTCTTGAGAGGTAAAACTCAAGACCTGAATCAAATCTCGTCTACATCACTTGTCGTTGCGGCTCTCTTTACACCGACCAAAAAATAGATTGATTGTTTATACCAAAAAAATAGAAGGGAAACAAAAAAAAAAGAAACTCTTTATTATCAATATCAAATAAAATACAAAAGATAGAATTCTTCCATCTTCAATGCACAACACTTGATTTTACCTAAAATGAAAAGAAAACAAAAAAAAATAATGGAGATTCCTAATTTTACACCCTTTTTTGGGAGTAATATCACTACATTAGTTGTAGTGTGGTACCACTTAACGTGGTGCAACAATCTTATAGTAGTATATTTCTTTTACTACGAGTAACTAATTGTAATTTTAGTTACAGAGTTCACGAGCAATTCCTAGGCGAGAATTGGCGGTATCATAGAGAATTCTAAGGTTTTGTTGTTGCCAAGTTGCTATTATATTGATCACAGAATTTGCGCTATTTGCAGCCATTGCTAGGCAAGCTAGGTTGCCTGCACTACTATGGATCAATGTGTTCTCCATTGGTAATTTTAAGTCCATCCCTTCAAAATGTAGGGTTACGGTTGGGGCCACTTGCTCGTGGGTCACGGGGAAACATGTATCGAACGCCCCGAGTGAGCTATATGGTCCTTGGACTTGTTTTTTGTACTCATCCCGGATTGCATTGTAAGCGGGTGCTACGAACCGGGTTAGGAGGGTACCGGAGTCAATGATGGTCCCAACACCGGTGTTTGGGTCGAATGTGAAGTATTGTTTGGGGATGGGTACTTGGACCCGGCCCACACTGACCGCGATTAGGTTTACATAATAGAGTGAGGGACGGTGTGGGTTTTGGAGGAATGGGGTGGTTTTGATTGTTCGAGGTTGGCCCGTTGGGCCGAGCTTGAGTGACCCGGAGAAATAGTAGGACTTGAAGCTTGGGAGGCAATAGGAGAATACTCCATTGTAAAGGGATTTGGATTGGGAAATTAGTGATAAGGGCCCACGGCCCAAGCCCAATAAGCCTTGTGGTGGGATTGAGTTGCCTGAGATAGCATTGATGCATCCAAAAGCATAGTTAGTGATGACATCTTTGTCTAATGATAAAGAGTCATGTGAGAGGGTAGCTAAAAGTGATGAATCTCCACCATAGGATTGGTTAAATTGACATACCCCGGACCCGGTTGAAGGGCATGAAATAGGCCCGCGGACTTGGCCACATTGAGCCGAAGCACAACCCATGGATCCGAAGGTGGAGGAAGAGTTGGGGGAGAATATATTAGAGGAGCACCCTACACAACCCGAGCAAGGGACCCATGCAGCATCCAAACTTGTGTCCAAGACCATGAACATGAGTTGGCCTGGAGTCCCAATCTTGGTTCGGACCAAGTAATTACCTATATTAAGGACTTGTTGGCCCGAAGCTATAGGGGCAGAAGTCTTTTGGGCTGCTAGACTATCTAAAAATGCAACCCTCTTAGGGTCTTTCGCGGCCATGTCAAGGACCGTGTTGGGCCATAAATTGGGTTTTTGGTCCTTAAAAGGCGAACAACCACCATAAATGTGGAAGATAGAGAGATCAGACGTATCGGGTTTAGAAGAAGAGCATAATGATGGTTTAACACCTTGAGTGTTAGTAATGAGAAAGGCAAAAAAGAGGAATGTAGTAGCCAAGTACTCCATGAGAGACTTGGCAATGGTTTCACTCTTTAGATTTCTTGTGTTTTGGATAAGATGTTTGATTAAGTGTGCATGGGAGAACAACTATATATATTGAGTTTTAGAAATGTGAATTACTAACAAGCCCTTATTGTTATTATACGGAATTAGTTATAATACGTGGAATGATTGCTTGAGCATTTTTTGGAACACCCAAATATAAATTAATAAATAAATTGGATGGCCGTGAGAACAAAGAAACAAAAAACAGACTACTTAAAATAAATAAATAAATAAATAAATAAATAAATTGGATGGCCAATAGAAAGGCACAATTTTTATGGCTGCAAAGATAGTAACAAAACTATAATTTGGAGGCAAGCATGTAACTAGTACAAGTAGAATAAATAGAGACAAATTTAAGTAATAAATTAACCAACTATTCTATTAATAGTTTACTACTTCAACCAGAACAAAACGCCGTGATCTTTCTATCACATGTGATTATGTGAAGTTTGCATATTAATGTATAAGTAATGTAACCCTAATTTGTATGAAAATCAGAATAATGTTGACTATGTACTGCTTTGTACTACAAGGGAGAAAATTTTGTCACTCAAAACAATTTACGGAGTAGTTGTTAATTATTTTCATCGGCTGGAGGAGCTGATCTAAAGGGTCATTTTTCTAGGAAATAGAGATCACCTGACTTCTTGTTTGAATGAAACTCGAGTTTTTTTTTTTTTTTCTAAAGCCTAAATGAATCAATGAATCATCTATGTTGACCTAATTCAAATAAGAACCCACCTAATCGAAACCAAATAATTCAACAACGGATTTGATTATGTAAAGATTTTTTTTTTCCTAAAGCCTAAATTAATCATCTATGTTGACCTAATTCAAATAAGAACCCACCTAATCAACACCGAATAATTCAACAACGGATTTGATTATGTAAAGAAGAGAAATCAATCTAAATGATAGATGTATGTCATCTTTGCGTGACTATATGTAAATACTTTAGTTTCATGGTCTTTCACATCATACGCTCATCAATTTGCATGTCAGCCATATGTATGCTAAGGGTCTGTTCTCTTACGTTGAAATTCAGTTTAGTTCAGTTCAGCTCAGTTTTGTTCAGTTCAGCTCCTAATTTCCTTCTCTTATAAAATATTTAGTTCAGTTCAGTTCAGCTCAATTCAGTTCAGTTCAGTTCAGTTCAGCTGAGTTCAGTCAATGAGAACAAGCCCTAAGTTCACATGTATTATAGGTTTATCATACAAAACTAAATACGAAGTAAGGGCCTGTTCTTTTATGTTGAAATTCAGTACAGTTCAGTTCAATTCAGCTCAGCTCCTAATTTCCTTCTCTTATAAAATATTCAGTTCAGCTCAGTTCAGTTCAGTTCAGTTCAGCTCAGTTCAGTTCAGTTCAGCTCAATTCAGTTCAATTCAGTTCAGTTCAGTTCAGCTGAGTTCAGTCAATGAGAACAGACCCTAACTTGGATTTCATATGACGTTAAGCTAGCTAGTTAGTCGCATTCTCGCATATACGTAAATGTTTTTGTATTGAATTGTTTAAATTAGAAATAATACTTTGTATAAGGAATAAAATAACAACAACAAATCAATAATAGATCAATTATTAAAACACATACACCAAAAAGAGCAATTAATTCAAAGGGGGGGGGCATAGATTGAACATAAAAATGAGTAAGGGCAACTCGTGAACAAAATGGACAAGTTGGAGTTTGGTTCGAAAGTGGAATAATGAAGCTGAAATTGTGTTTTGTCCTTAAAGAAGAACCACCCACGAGATTGAGGGGTCAGCTTTTTCACGGACTTGCAGTATTATTCTTGTGATCGATCCACTCATTTTATTTTTTTTAATTAACTCCTTAATTTAGCACTTAATTTGAACTTGTTTTTAGCCAATTAGTCAAACATAAATATCGCAGAGCATCTATTGAATATCTTCTTGCACAGGATCATATTTTAAAAATATCTCTATATAATTGAAATAATACTACTCGTACTTCGTACTTTTATAATTGTCTATAAAATTATATGCAACGTAATTTTGTTCGAAATTTTCTGAAGATAATAGGAGTGCTAATTGTTAAGTAGGGTATTGTCCAACTTAATTAGGGCATGTTCTCATTGATTGAACTGAATTGAAATGAATATTTTATAAGAGAAGGAAATTAGCAGCTGGACTAAATTAAAGTGAACTGAACTGAATTTCAACGTATAAGAACAGACCCTTGCTCGCATTAAAATGATTTCATATTCATACGAGCCGGCAAAATATTATTATTTTCTTGATCCTAATTAAAAAAAATTAGCAACACAAGAATTTATCCCTATATATATGCTCATTTTAAAGTACACTCAAGTGCATGTAAAAATCTCATATAAGCACCTTTTAAATTTTAATACTCATGAAAAATCTTCTTGTTCAGATTTATTCACATTTCCAATCTTATTTCAACCTGTTTTATGTACATGAAATACAATATTTAGTGTCACTTCTGATAAAAACCAAGTGCTTGGTTGATTGTTTGGTAATAATAAATTAATGTCTATGATTTGGTTTTTGGCTCATGAGGATATTCACTTATTCCTTTTAATTCAAAAGTCACTCACTCCAAACATATTTAGCTAAATTTTAAGCTAAAGATTCGTTTACCTAAAAATTCATGTACACATGTATTTCATTATCAAACAAGAATACAAGTCCATAATCTTATTCTTGTAGTCCATCTAAAGTGATGTCTAAAAGAAGATCACTCTAATGCAAGGGCCTTACACCTAAATGCATTGATCTATCAAATACGTTAAAAATCAGAGGCGGAGCTAGGGGGTACAAGGGGGGACAGTTGTCCCCCCACTTAGGAAAATAAATCTAGTATAAATTATTTTGTGAGCAATAATTTATCTTAAGAACTAGGATGGAGCAGTGGTGCAAGTTACTCTTATAGAGTCTTATACATACCAATGTACACGGGATCAAACCGACAATGCATATATCCTTCCATTATTTCTTAACAATTACATCTTTTTAATTGTTTTTATAATTTTGCATGAATGAACCCATACATTTGATAACCTATACTATCTTATGTTTGAAAATTTAAAAATTTCTAAACTCATAGGCAAATATTTTGGAAGCAATAGTTAGTACTTCGTATATGATAGTTTTTTTTTTTTACTAATTATTTTGGATATTTTGGTGGTACAACTTTAACTTTTTAATAACTATGTGTGTCATCTATACGTTTGAGTATTTATTTCCTCTAACACAATTTTCAAACTATGTGATGCCTATTTGTCCCCCCAATTTGGAATTTCTGGCTCCGCCACTGTTAAAAATGTATAAAACAATTCAAAACTTTTTCTATTATTTGATCTTTATCTGTTTTACTTTATAAGAGACATCGTTCGAGTCAATAACTACTTAATTAATTGAAATACATGCATCAATCCAATTGTTTAGTCTTATCATACCTTTTACGAGTACGTGTTTGGACGACTTCACCAATCCGAACTTTTTTCGCCTTGTAACATGCCTACACCAAGATAGATGTTGTTAGTGTAGGCTCGATACAAAGTGCATTGCGCAACATTGCGTTAAAAATACCATGAGGAGGCCTCCGAAACAAAACCTCTTCAATATCAACATTTCCCGCCATTTACATCGACAAAAGGTGTCATTTTTTCATACTGAACCCCAAAAAATCATCAATCAATTTCAATACTCTAAAGATTTGAATTTTGTGCAATCAACCCATTCTAAGCTTTTCAAATCTGGGTTCTTAAATCAAACTTTTTACACCAATCATCTCATCAATGCATATATTAGATGTAAGAATGTTAATAATGCACACCAACTGTTCGACGAAATGCTTGACCCAAACACCATTTCTTGGACTTCACTCATGGGGGGTTATACTGCAGCTAAACAGCCTAATATGGCTGTTTGGCTCTTTGCAAAAATGCCCAAAAACATTGTGTTTCCTAACGCCTTTACGCTTTCGACTGTCGTGAATGCTTGTTCTGTTCTTGCTGATGTAAAAGCAGGGAAACTGGTTCATGCTTTTGTTGAAGTTTATGGTTATCAGACAAATCTTATTGTTTGTGCTTCATTGGTTGACATGTATGGGAAATCAAATGATTTGGGTTCTGCTAGACGGGTTTTCGATTCGATGGTTGAGAGAAATGTTGTGCCTTGGACTTCAATGATAGTGGGTTATGCACAAAATGCTCAAGTGTATGAAGCACTAAAGCTTTTCAGGGAATTTAGCCGAGTTGCAGATGATCCGCCGAATCAGTATATGCTGTCTATTGTTGTTAATGCGTGTGCGAGCTTAGGAAGGCTGGTATATGGAAAGGTCACACATGCTGCAGTAGTTAAAAGAGGGCATGAATCAAATGAAGTTGTTGCTACTGCACTCGCCGATATGTATGCTAAATGTGGATGCTTCGAATCCTCTCTTAAGGTGTTTAGGAGAATGCTTAATTCTTGTCTTATATCATATACTTCTATGATCATGTCTGCTGCAAAGCACGGGCTTGGAGAGGTGTCGCTTGAGCTCTTCGAAGAAATGATCCTCAAAGGAATAAAGCCAACTGATGTCACATATCTTGGCATCTTGTATGCTTGCAGCCATTCAGGACTTGTAGACAGAGGCCTTGAGCTCTTGAACTCGATGCAAGCAGAACACGGTGTTATCCCTGATGTGAAGCACTATACTTGTGTTGTTGACATGCTCGGAAGAAGAGGCCGTTTGGATGAGGCTTACCGATTGGCAAAGACCATAGAGTTAAGACACGATAGTGAAGGTGCTCTCTTGTGGGGCTCCCTTCTCTCGGCTAGTAAGCTTCATGGAAGATTGGATATTGCAGATGAAGCTAGTAAGTGGTTAATAGAAGCTAAGCAACAAGTAGACACTGCTTATGTCTCAATGTCAAACATTCATGTTTTGACTGGCAACTGGGATGACTCTCAGAGTATTCGTTCAGAAATGAAACGCGTAGGAGTAAGAAAGGAGCCTGGTTGCAGCTGGGTCGAAATCAAAGATTCAGTCTATGTATTCTATGCTCGAGATGTCTCTTCATGTCCGAGAGGCATGGAGGTGTTGGAATTGTTGAAGGACTTGGAGAACAGGATGAAGGAACGAGGTTACATTGGAGGAAGCAAAGGGTTGGTGTTTGTTGATGTAGAAGACGAATCGAAAGAGGAAATTGTGAACTTACATAGTGAAAGGCTTGCCTTAGGTTTTAGTTTATTAAGCATACCTAAAGGAGAAACCATAAGAATCATGAAAAACTTAAGGATGTGTGGAGATTGCCATGAAGCTTTTAAGCTCATTAGTAGCATAGTTGAGAGAGATTTTGTAGTGCGAGATGTAAATAGATTCCATCATTTTAAAAATGGATCTTGTAGTTGCAAAGATTATTGGTAACAAAATGATACTCTTTACATTGAAATAAAAACTTCTCGTTTCCTTTTCTAGGTAAGATGTTACTATACGAAAACTTTTTTCTTGTGTCATTTAAAAGTGAGAAGTTAAAGACAGGACGCAATCGATATAGTAACAAATAGAATGATTATGAAGAAACTATTGCAACGGAGCCTCGCTTTTATTTCTCACGAGATAACGGTGATGATACTATACAAAGTTACAATATTACAAACTTCATCATTTTCAACAATACAAACACCATTGCATAACAACATAGTATGGAACCTTAGTCCAGAGACGAAGAGCTTAGACCAGGCACGAACAATCAATTTAATCATCGCATTTAATGACAAACTTCACAATGAAAACATCACTAAAGTCCAAGAGCAGCCATAGAAAGTACATAGTCCAGCAATTCCACCGACTCGTCTCGTAAAGGGAAGAAGAAAACAAACCCAGTTAGACCATGCAAGTGTGTCATTTCTCACCATATGCTGCAGAAGAGATAAAACCATATATAAGATAATATCACACAAATATCTGGCATGACCGCATGAGAGGGCATAGGGCAACCTATGTTACTCGAACTCTTCATTTTACCTGAAGTACCCATGTTGGATTACTCTGACATACTTGAGACCTCACTTTGGACACCAACATACGGAAAGTTTTTCAAGAATACCCAAGTCTAACACTTACACATGATACTAGAGAGATAAAAACCAACTATAAAAGGTGCCACAAGTTTTTGGTTAGCTTGTTAGTATAACGAGATTTGACATCAAACACAGAAACAATAATCTAGCCAGAGGGTTCACCAGAAACTTTAAAGCATGTACACAACTGATAGCAACATCAGTTCAACTATAAAACTATTGGTTTATCTTGCTTGTGTAATGCAAGTTGGGAGATTGCATATAACTGATAAACACCTAATCAGAGTACTTGTAAACTCAATGTATGTACTAATGAGACTATAAAAGCGATAATAGCTCAAGGCTGCTCAACTACAAAACCACTGAAAAGTAACAGACTAATAACTAGCCTTTTTCGAAAAAATTACTGCTAGGAGCTAGCTAATACATCTAATGATGCCAATGCATGAAATATACAAGCACCAAATCACAAAAAACTAAATATTCAGGTGAAAATTGGCAAAACAAACAGATATGCATGCCCAAGTACATCTTGTTGAGCAGCGATAAGCTACAAGAATAAAAAGAGCTCAAGTACCACAAGAAAAAAAATGGTGTATATGTTAATTAGGGAAGTGCATATGATTTAAAGTCTGTTCTCACTGCCTTGGCAAATACCTGGTAAAGCTTCATCAACTTGGTTATTCTTTACAATGACAACAGGGCATGATGCGTGGTTGCTGCAATACTTACTCACACTTCCCAGAAACATTCTGCCATCATAAAAAGTTTTCAAGATTAGCTGCAGTTTGGATAAGTATAAGCCTAAATTGTCAAATCCCCATGACTTTTTGGGCGAACTTAAAAGTTTAAACAGAAAAAAGTGTCCTTTTGAATGCTAACACCCTGATTAGGACCGAAAGCAAGTGAGGATATTATACAATTTTTAAAAAATTACCTTTTGATGGGACCGAAAGCACGGTTACCCATGACCAGCAAATCAGCATGCATTTCATCAACAACTTCACATATCTTTTCCTTTGGATCTCCAATAACTACATGGGTTTTGGCATTCACCTAAGAGAAAGTTGCCAACAAAAGAAAACTTTAGTCCTCGGTAAAAAAGAATGATATAAATTTGAACGGAGTTATTATAAGACATTAGCTAAACTGCAGTGAATTGGCATGAAAAGAGAATCAAACAAGCTGTGTTCAAGACAGGGACACACAGGTGAGCAAGATGAAGGGAATTAAAAGTGGATCAAGTGCGTATTACTCAGTAATGGACTCAAGCTTGCTGGACTCTCTCACACACATTCAACACAGAAAACAGAGAGAAAAGATCGAATCTTTGATTGAAAATAATGAAAACGGGGGTTGGTGAAAGCTAGCAACTTTAGGCTGCCAATCTCTGTATAATGGACTCAAACTTGCTGGACTCTCTCACACACAATTAACACAGAAAACACAGAGAAAAGATCGAATCTTTTATTGAAAATATTGAAACGGGGGTTTGTACAAGCTCGCAGCTTTAGGCTACCAATCTACATTAGAGACTTTAGGTCACCACTCTCAAAATAGTGACTTGAAGTCGCAACTCTCATAAGAATTCACTCCAAAAATCTGCCTGCCTCTTCCTTTCCCCTATTTCTCTATATATAACAAAACAAAAGACTATCAACCTTATAACACTAGATTACCTACAATGCCCTTCCTTGGTCAGTTTTCAACACCCATTGATCAATCAGCACCCTTTCTTTCCAAATCTCCACTAAAGGAGCCTTATTCACTATATGACCAATCATAGCTCGTTCATCATACATAACATTACACCCATGAACCGTAAATGAAATGACACTCTAGCATCAAACACAACGATTTCCAACTCGATTAAGTCCACCAAGTAACAGCAATAACTGAAAATCAGCTGCCTACTAAAGTATAAATTGTAGTTTCATAGCTCAAACTAAGTTTTCCAATCTATCAATCCTAACCATAAACCAAATAATCATTGACCCTAATCAAGGTTCGTTCTTTTTCCTCAAAACTCATCAAAATACACAAATTTCAACAATTCAACCTCGATTTTACATTCCACATTCAATTACTCCATCTTTCTCAGAAAATGATCATACTTTGAAGAACCCTAAACCCCAAATCAATCTATATTCCCAAAAAAAATTAAGAAAAAATAAAACTCACATTTTTCTCGGAAACAATTTCCAAAGCATGATTAATAATAGCTTCAGTAATCCGCTTCTGATGTGCTTCAACCGCCGCTGCAAAAGCCGGCACCTCCATACCTATTTCAACCCCAAAAAAATCAAAATCAAAAATTGAAAATCAAAATTCAACAAAAATCAAAAATTGAATTTGTGGGAAGTATGAAGAACTTAACTGGGACCACCAAAAGGGATAGAACCAGGATTAATTCCGACAGCAATGGACGGTGGAGATTGAACATGAAGAACAACGAAAGATCCGCCATCTTCCGGTGATAAAACGGTGACGTTTTCAAGGGCCCATTTCAGGGCGTTCATACTCTCTTCGCTACCATCTACTGGGACCACCACACATTTCAGAGTTCCAGTCATGGCTGCCGCAACTACACAAAATTGTCAGCGAAACAAATAAAAATCCAATCTTTATTTTTATTTTTTATTTTTTGATAAATTTTGATGAAAGGAAATAAAAAGTTGAATGTGATATTTTTTGAAAGTTTGTGTCTTTATTCTGAGTGGAAAGGTCAGTTGATAGATATGGTCATTCATGTCATCATATTTTAATGTTTTGAATGAGATTAAAAAGGTAAATGTCTTTTGAGTACGCCAACAGCTAGATGATTTGATTAATCAAAGTTTAGGAGATTGTTTTGTTTACTACTATGGTTTGCCGCCTATTTGTCATCCACGCATGTGGTTTCTTCTTGTATCAAGATACTACCAAAATCTATGAGATCATCGTCTAATAGTCGAGGTGGCTATTGGGTTATTCGGTTTGCCGTCTGATTGGCTTAAGTGAGGCGAACTCATTAATAATTAAAGCTCTATTTTAAGACAGAAAAAGTTAGGTCAAACTAAGTCTTGAACTTTTAATCTTCAAGATTTAAATTAAGTACCAATCACCGTGACTAATAAATAGGATTCACATCCACCTTATACATCATTACGATGCATTTTTATAATAAAATCTTAGACTTAGGGCATGTTCTCTTACGTTGAAATTCAGTTCAGTTCAGTTTAGTTTGGTTCAGTTCAATTCTGTTCAGCTCAGTTCAGTTCAGTTCAGCTCAGTTCAGCTCAATTCAAATCATTTCAATTCAGTTCAGTTCGGTTCAGCTGAGTTCAGTCAATGAGAACTGACCCTTAGAGTCTGTTCTCATTGGCTGAACTCAGCTGAACTGAAGTGAATATTTTATAAGAGAGGGGAATTAGGAGCTGAATTGAATTTCATTGTATGAGAACAGGCCAGGGCCTGTTCACAATTACTCAATTTCATTTCAGTTCAGCTCCAATCAATTCAGTTCAATTCAACTCTTAATTTCCCTCTCTCATAAAATATTCATTTCAGCTCAGTTCAGTTAAGCTCCAATCAGTTTAGTTCAGTTCAGTTCAACTCTTAATTTCCCTCTCTCATAGAATATTCATTTCAGCTCAGTTCAGTTCAGTTCAGCTCCAATCAGTTTAGTTCAGTTCAGTTCAACTCTTAATTTCCCTCTCTCATAAAATATTCATTTCAGCTCAGTTCAATTTAGCTCCAATCAGTTTAGTTCAGTTCAGTTCAACTCTTAATTTCCCTCTCTCATAGAATATTCATTTCAGCTCAGTTTAGTTCAGCTCCAATCAGTTTAGTTCAGTTCAGTTCAACTCTTAATTTCCCTCTCTCATAAAATGTTCATTTCAGCTCAGTTCAATTTAGCTCCAATCAGTTTAGTTCAGTTCAGTTCAACTCTTAATTTTCCTCTCTCATAAAATATTCATTTCAGCTCAGTTCAGTTCAGCTCCAATCAGTTTAGTTCAGTTCAATTCAACTCTTAATTTTCCTCTCTCATAAAATATTCATTTCAGCTCAGTTCAGTTCAGCTCCAATCAGTTTAGTTCAGTTCAGTTCAACTCTTAATTTTCCTCTCTCATAAAATATTCATTTCAGCTCAGTTCAATTCAGCTCCAATCAGTTTAGTTCAGTTCAGTTCAACTCTTAATTTTCCTCTCTCATAAAATATTCATTTCAGCTCAGTTCAGTTCAGCTCCAATCAGTTTAGTTCAGTTCAATTTAACTCTTAATTTTCCTCTCTCATAAAATATTCATTTCAGCTCAGTTCAGTTCAGCTCCAATCAGTTTAGTTCAGTTCAGTTCAGCTCCAATCAGTTTAGTTTAGTTTAATTCAGTTCAGTAAATGTAAACAGACCCTTAGACTATGTTTAGTCCATCTTATTTTTACTTATCATATTTGATATAAACTTATACTTTACAAACAACATAACAAATTAAAATTATCTAATTTGACTAAATTTTAAAGTCTTGTTAGGTTCATAATACTAATATTTATTTTATTAATATTATAAAATATAATCACAACTTAATTTTTATATTTTGATGTAATCTAAACTAAATATTTTAAAATTTTGATCTAAAACTAGTAAAAATAAGGTGAATTAAACATAATTGATACCGTTTTGGGCTTTTTGGCGCATTCATATGCATTATTGATTTATTTCCATACATGTCGACTTTTAACCAAGTTTCTGTTTTGTAATTGTTGTGTTTGTAGTCTTATTAGGTTCATGTAAGAAAACCAAAGACGCCTGGACCTGGTCCACTCATTACAATTGTGATGGGAAATAAAGAAGCCCATTCATATGGGCTTAAAAACCCACCAAGAAAAAGTGAGCCCAAAGTAGACAAGCTCACAAGCCCAAGAAAAAATAAACGAAGAAGAAAAATATGCAAGACAACACAACTTCAACAAGTCTTTGGGTTGATTTTGTCGATTATACTTCTTCTATTCTTTTTTACTTGACCTGTTTCTTCTATCATACTTATCAATGCAAAACTTTAACGATCAATAACTTTAATTCTCCATAACTAAAAATCATAAAAGTTATATATTATGATAGTAATTATTGAGACGAATTCAAAAAAGATCTCTCATGAATATGTTTTTCCTTACATATTATTCACAAAAGACGGTCAAAGGAGAAGTAGTGAATAGTGTAAAAGTCAAAGCGGGTCAAGTAAAAAAGAACGGAGGAAGATATTTCGTATAATGTTTGGAGATATTTAAATGTATAGATTCATATTTGGGACCAATTGAAATAATTATGTGTGGATTAATACAAGTAGTCCAAAAATGATGGCATGGAGCATGTGAGAATGATTCCTTATAACATCCAAATTTTGAAGGAACATAATATTCGCAGCTAACCTACAAGGCAAATCCAAACAATCGAGTCATTTTTTGCCTTGGCTTATTAGGTAAATAGTGGTGATATTACTATTTAAATGCATGTAGGAATACCTCTTGGTTTGTTATTTTTATTTATTAACGTATTATTTATAAGTCCAAAATTTTAAATTTTGACCAATTTTTAAAATCGATGTACATAAGTATCACACTATCACATATTCACATGTATCATTGCAATGTGTATTTTTATTCATTGCAATCTTGTATCATATGCAACTCAAGTCCGTTTTAATTTACTTTTGTTGTAATGATGAACCAAAAATATTAACCAACTTATCAAATTATGAATTTAAGCATCTCTAATGTTATAAAGTTGATAATAAACAATCTCATAAATTAATAAACAAGTTAAAGGCCTGCTGCAGCAAGCAATTTGCAAAATGGATTATCGTTGGCATGCATTTCTGTTTATGCTTTTATGATCTGTAGTACGTACTACATATTATGGGCTTCCTTACATAACCTAATATTAAACTAATATACCAAATCTTATTACTAATAAGAGGTTCTTTTCTTGCCACCTTTTCATATTAATAAAAGAGCAAATCCAAATTGATATCCTATATCAACTAGCGGCGTTGATATAGGGGTGACGTCGTCAATTCACTCATTAAATGAAGGACAAAGCTGGAAGAGAAATGAAAATCCCGTGTTGCCCCGTTTTATGTCCCCCGTTTTGATGTGGGGTCTGATGTACACGACATTAACAGTCGTTAATAGTTTTGTTTCTCTCTCTTCAAACCCCTTTTAAGTGTGGAGCTTTCTCTCTCTTCTGCAACGAAGCTCATTAATGATTTTTGCGCTATTTCTTCGACAATTACACTGAATTAAGCGGTTGTACTTGGGATTTTTGATGATCAATAAGGTCGTGTACATCGTATGATGAAGACTGTGATTTATATGCATTGCTAGTTGAATTTAGTACAATGAGTTGCAGACAATGTTAGTAATTGCGCGATCGATGAATTTGTCTTTTGTATTTCAATTTTATGTTGGTAAGCAGCAAAATCACGCCCATGAATTATAGAAGTATTGATTTGATTAATTGACCGACGGTGGTAGCGGACCGGATGGATTGCTTGACACGACACCAATTCCCACCGGCGATAATCATCATTTGCTCTTACGAAGATAAGTTATTTGTTATTCTCTCTCCTCTAGAATTTTAGATCTTAATAAAGATATCAAACGGCTTTAAATTTTCCGTCCATATGAGTACTGTTACGATTTTTGAATAAAAAAATTGGAAATACAGGGTCCTTGTCAGCATTCCACTAGTTTTTATGTGCGTTTCATAATAAGTTCCAACTTCTTAACCCGTTATTTATTAATTGTACGTATTATTGAGACTTTTTACGCTATTTGTATGCCCTTCCTTGACCAAAAAAATCTATTTTTCCACATAAGAAAAAAATATATACGATATAATCAGGTAATTAACTATGTAGGATTTTGATAGAATTATTTCGATATATACTTTTAAAATACGAAGTAGTATATTGTGTAGTAATACGGAGTACAGAATAATGCTATACGTAGCCTTTAGAGCTAAGAATTTACAGAGAAATATCTTTCTTAATTTGGTATTAATAACATAGGAATGCATGACAAAATCAAACGCAAATCATTGTAATTAATGTTAAATTTTATTTATTTTTATTTTTATTTTGAGCTCCTTATATGTAATCCTAAGCGAAATGTATAGCATTTTCCTTAAATATACGTATTGATTTGTAATATTGTGTGCATTGAAATTCCATCTAATACCGTATTAACAAAGAACAAAAAAAAAAGTATTGTGTACGCAAATATTTTAATTTCTCTCACATAATATACGTATGTACTAAATGACAAAAAAGACGAAAAGACAAAAATCAAAGAGGTAGCTAGCGAACGAAGGGCCATTTAAACGAAGTTGCGAAACTTTTTTTTTTTTTTTGAATAGACGAAGTTACGAAACTTGACAAATAAAAAAATACGAAACAATAAACAAGTCCTTCTTTACGACCAAAAATAGAAAGTTTTTCTTCAACAAACCATCATCTTTCCCAAATAGAAGTATAATTAGAAATAAATTAATTTAGTACAACAAATAAAGTGGCGTATTTAAGGGGTTAGGAAACGAATAAGCTTAACATGACAAGTAAAGTAGCCGTAGTCGTTTTCATTCTTTCTCCTAACTATACTATTATGCCTTTCCCACGGACAAAGCTTTTCATTTCCTCTCTTCCAAGAATATGACAAATTTCTAAGAGGTTGTTCTATTTATATACTACTATGTTTTATTAGTATTATTATTAAATATTATTA